ATATTTTGTTTATTATTTTATATTATTGTATAATACTACTACTGTATTATTACAAAACAATTAGWGTAGAATATTACAAAGTGAAATTGAAAATAATTAAGTAAGTAATACTTAAATTTAATAAACACGTGTGATGAAATTAATATGAAATCAAATGTAAACAAAAATCTTAAATATTATTTGAATAAAACAAACTTGAGTGAAAATTATAATATATTTTACAAAATACAAGTATCTATGTCTTGAATAAAAACTTTAGTTAAAACCATCAGATGGCAGGCAGGTTACTTGCTTATATAAACTATAAATAATATTATATTTTTTAATACGGCTCGTGAAAATATTAAAAATTGTTCTAATGTCTCACTGTCGTTATATATTGCATTACTTTGATCGCATACATCTTATATCAAATACATACATCTGGTCTTTTTGAAAATTTCCACGTTTTTCTCAATGGATTTTTCAGTTATATTTTGCAATACTAAGACACATTGCACTTCACTACCATCACAGCTTGATGCAAAAACCTCCCAAGTGATACGTCAAGGAAGAATCAATACTTTGCATTTTCTTTAAAGTATAATTTTCTAATTCACATGACTACCTGATATGCGATACATAATATAAAATGTTTCAGGCGTTCCAGCAGCAAACGATACAAACGATGATATTTTTCATTTGATATGCTATTTACATAACATAATAATGTGACGAATAAAAACTAAAACTCTGTTTGTAAGATACTGTTTGATACTTCAGTGTATGATTTAAATATAATCATAGCTTTGAAGAAAATTTTATATACTTAAGGATGTGGGCATATTTTAACTGGTAATTGTATTAACCATCCAACTAAATAAATAAGTATATTAGGCGGTATAAAATCTCTGAAAAAAAAATAAAAGCTATCAATTACGTATTTAATGTGGTATTAAAAGATAAATTAGTACTCTTAAATATGACAGTAAACTAAAAATTAATATAAGTATATAATTGTATTACTTTATTATTATAAACAATATTAGGGAACAACTACATAACTCATGGCATACCCATGTAATCACAAAATCAATTTAAATATTAGAAGATAAAATTTGTAATACACCCCCTATTTTGTATTTGTTTACAAAAATTTCTTCATATAAAATCATTTTTAACACTGCTCATTGTAAAAGAATCATTATTTTTGTTTTATTTTTTTGGTTTTGTTTCTCAATATGATTTTAACTAAAAACATGAATAATTTAAAATTAGTATCAATATATTTGAAATATTATAATTAATTTTCTATTGGGTTAAAAAAATTGTTATAAAATAATTTATTTCAATATTTTTTAGACTTACTGAACTCGGAATAAAAATTTGAAATGACTAGATAACCTAGAATTAAATGATTAATTGAGCTTATGAGTATATATTTATATTATGTATTTTCGTCTATTTTTCTTAAACGGTAATGTTTATAACTCATTTACTGGCGAGGCATTTGTCAAGCTATAATCAATTAAAATACAGATCAAAAAATTATTGAATAAAATCTTTTAAAACATTCATCACAAACTAATCTACGTTTATTTCTTCATAGGCGTAGTTAAGGTATAAAATCGATTTAAATTTAAAATAAAATATCGAATGACTAAAAATAAAAAACCAATCTACAGTTTGAATTTGTTTTTATGTTGGAAAAGATTTATTACCCTAATAAAATTATAACACTTAAGTTGTAACGATGGAAGATATATTTTTTCGGTCCAATATTGATATGCGTACACATTTAATTCAATCTTTTAATAACAGTTTTTTGTATAAGGTTTATTCATCAATACCAATAGGTAGTTAAATTATACAAAGTATTATTCGTAAAAGTAATTTCTATTTAAGAAATGTAAATTATCAATATTAACTTATGTATTATGAACTAATAAAATAATAAAAATAGTATTTCAGACTAAAATTAATTTTATAAGAATATAAATTCCATAATTCTTTATAAAACCATTTCTCCATGACTATGCTTTTTAATTATTCAAAAATTATAAATTTTACCTACTTAAAAAATGTAGATACTCCATTAAACTTCTAAACTTTTTAATTAACACAGAAATTAGTTATCGTTTTTAAATGTATAAATCCACATTCAGCTAGAATGTTCTAAACAGTAACCGCAATGTATAGAATATCGTTCAACTAATCATGTACCAAGTCCAAACTACTTTTAACTTAATATATTAAGAAATAAATATCCATTAAAAAATGGATACATATTATATTACGGTCGTAATTTTTCCATAAAATTATTCCATTTTAGAATAATATTATCAACAAAATTGGTTTATTATTATATTGATTAAGTATACTTATATCATAATCATACTGGAATCAAGTATAAATTTACTTTGTAATTATAAGCGGATGTACATAAAGCATTTTCCACCGAATATTAATTGAATTACTCCAGCCGTTATTTAGCTGAATGTTATGCTAGTTTATTTATAATTGACATTTACTAATTAAAAAACATAGTTTCCACATGCTACTTAATTTCTATACACAAAATGTAATGTTCTCTAATTTATATTAAGTGCGTAGTTAAATATTTAGTATGATATTTTATTATTTATTATTATTTATTATGCAATAAAACAACATTGGAATGATATAAGACCAATGTGTTAAACACTGGTTCTCAACTTTAAGCAAATATAATAAATACTACCGATAGAGTAAAGTCAGAACAAAATTAAAACATAAATAAAAACATCCTAAAAGTATAATGTCCAGACACATAACTTTATTTACATTCATTTATAAAATTGTATTTTTATGATTTATTGAATATTGCCATATTTTTGAAACTTTTTTCATACACTTTAGCTAATCAAACTTTTTACTTTTTATAAAGATTTAACAATGTGAGACAGTCTTTAGATTCTAATTTTTCTAACAAAATTAAAAGTTTAATCATTAAATTCCGTGTATTCGTGGAGTCATTTGAATTTTTCAGCCAAACTATTATATTGTAATAAATTAAAATTCATAACTTTATGAATACTTAACATTGATAATAATATATTAACTTTTAAACTAAATAACTGGTATTTAAATTATAGATCCAGCTTGGCTTTAAACTGTTTTTTAATTGTTTGGTGAATGATATTATAATGTGAAAAATATAAATTTCATAGAAAACAAAAAATGTTAAAAAAAAAAAAGATTAAAAAGAATCAGGGTTTTCAAAGAGTCTCCATTAAAATAAGTTTTGCCCAAATGGTTTGGATTACACACCTGCAAATGTAAGGATACAAATTAATTTAACCTATAATCTGTCCGAACCGCACCTAATTTTCCAAATAAGGTAAATTTTTTTTGGCCCTATCGCGTAATAATGCAATGAAACAATTATTATTATTATTAATATTAATATATTATTCCCTATTAAATATAATAATTACGTATAATAATTATAATATATTTAAAAGTATTTWTTTTATTTTTTTAGTGGCTTATGTTAGTAACAGTCACAATTCTATACAACTTGGTATTTGTGATCGGCCGTGGCGTATTCTGGGAGCTGAATAATGCGATGCCGACCATCTGGTGGATACTGGACTACGCTTCTGATGGGATCTACGTAGTCGACACATTAGTCCATGCACACGAAGGTAAACTATCGAGTAACAAATAATAACTAATAATATTTTATCCACTGTGGAAAATTGGGAGGGGAGGGTCTAAGTCCAGTACCAGTTACTTATTAAATTATAGATTGATAGGTACCTTAATAACAAAAAAAATAACAAAAAACTAAAGAATGTTGTAATGTTATTTTTCATTGTATATAAATAATGTCACTTTGAGCGAAACAATTTTTTTCCGTACTATCTAGATATTTTAAATTGTTAGCTACCCACACTCCAACCATAATTTTATCAGATTTCCGACCAAGATTATATCATTCTCGAGCAAAAGAATTGTTAATGTCAATTGAATTAAGGCATAAATATATATTTATCTGAAGATACATAATCATATAATACGAGTATATTATATTGGTTTCAAAGCATAAATGAAAAAAAATTAAGTTTTTTTTTAAGTTTTAATTCATTATTTTATTACAATTTATGAGATTCTTCACCATAAAAATGTATTATTCAAATTATTTTTTAAAATCAACTAATAAAAAACTTATTCACCCACATCTTACCTGGTAGCCCCAAGCGTAGTCTAAAAAGAAACTAGTGTCCTGACTTGTTGGGAATCTAATAAAAAAAATCATTCTATATACCAATAAATATAAAATATTATAAATAAAATATTATTTTTAGACTCTGAAAGAAGTGATGAATATATAGTATTTACAATTATTATATTTTAACATAATTTTTTTTTATATATATAGAAAATTTAAGTTCTAAATTAAATATTTAAACGAAGTT